CGCCACCATCTCCCTCGTCGGAAATGAACTATCATGGTTCTTTCGGTACTAAATACTATTTCCTTATTTCGTTCTGAAATGATTGTGTAGTTTGTACTCCCTCCGTCCCATAATTATTGTCCAATTTTACTAAAATGAAAGATCTTATTTTTGGTCAAACTTAACTATATTTTACCTTAAACAACCGGATATACCCCTACATAAGTAATTGTTTAACCACTAAGATTTTATGGATAATGTTTTTTACTAAGGACAAATGTGTAACTTGATCCATAAAAAGTCAAATTGGACAATAATTTTGGGACAAAATTTTTTGGGCAAAGTGGACAATAATTATGGGACGGAGGGAGTATTTTCCATTTATAATACAAATTGTATTACAAGTAAAAATATAATCTGGATAATTATTTCAAAACGGAAGGAATATTTTACATTAATAAATTAGAAAGAAACATCAGTTTTGTGACAAGTGACAAGGGAAAGGAACCTCATCCGATTTCAATCTAAAGGCATGATCTTCCGGCCATGTTGCAGCGATGGCAAATTCTATAAACGAATATTGTGATCCCCCGATTTTTTTAAGATTGATTAGTACTAGTCGTGTACTTTGAATATAGACCATCAATCAGTTAACGATTAAATAATATCAGTTCATGGCAAATCGATATAGGAGTACATGATATTAACATGCATGTGCTAGAGAAATGAGTATCTTGAATATTCACCTCCTCTCTCTCTCTTTTAGTTATTTACCGGTGTGACCGGTTCGTGATTCAAACCAGTCTATATGTGCCGTCAAAGTATACACCACCCTCCTGTTCAACGCGTTTTTGCTGTTCCGGCCTTCAATTATTTCTTCCTCTCCTCGTACGCTTTTGATCTGAAAGTTAATCTCTCCTACTCTATCCCTTTCATTTTAATAATTAAATTTTTTTGAATCAATATAGTATAATGAAACGTGATCAAGGAAGTAATGTACTCCCTCCGTCCCATAATTATTGTCCAGTTTTACTAAAATGAAAGATTTTATTTTTGGTGAAACTTAACTATATTTTTACCTTAAACAACCGGATATACTCCTACATAAGTAATTGTTTAACCACTAAGATTTTATGGATAATGTTTTTTACTAAGGACAAATGTGTAACTTGATCCATAAAAAGTTAAATTGGACAATAATTTTGAGACAAAATTTTTTGGGCAAAGTGGACAATAATTATGGGACGGAGGGAGTAGTATTTTAGAGAGTTATGAATCAACATAATGAGCGATGAGGATTCCGAATACACGTTTAAATAAAAAATATTATCTCCGACCAAAAAAAAAAACCTATTTTGAATTTTCAAATTTGTATTAAAAATAGTATAAAACTCAAAACTTAATACCACGAGACACGAGCACCACCGCCTCATTGACCGACTAGCGAGTGAGAGATTAACTTAGTGGTATATCTTTGACTGCATTTCTTTGATTTTTGACTGCTTGATTTGACCCTGATTTTATTTTGCACCACCTTCTTCTGCTTTTTTTTTTTTTTTTTAAAAAAAAAGAGATAGCCAAATGAAGTAGGGGGCAGTGATCATTAATTACTTCATGATGCCAAATGATATCTTGGTTGCCTGCCATGTGTGTAGTATTTCCAACATGGATGTCGTATTCTTCGCCATTGCAAACGATGGGATTATGGGTGCATTTCCTGAATCAGTGTTCAATGCAAACAGGCTTAAAGTGAATTTGACTCTCCAAACAATATCTAAGGCAGATACATTCCACCATGCTATCACAAAAAATTAGCAACAATTTTGAAGTTCTAAATTTAAAAATATTTTTCGTGTCTTACTACATGTGTACAATATCATATATATAGTACAAATATTACAATAACCCTAGCCGTGATTATCAAAAACCCTAATTAGGGTTTCCGTATTTATGTATTCTATCATCCCCCCGCAATCGGAGCAGGAGAGGAAATCATGCATAGATTGGTTCTAAACGAATAAAATTTATCCTTAGGTAAGGATTTGGTGAACACATCTGCTAGTTGAGACTGGGTGGAGATATGAAGAACTCGAAGAAGACCAGCAGCAACACGTTCACGAACAAAATGAATGTCTAGACCAATATGTTTGGTTCGAGCATGATTAACAGGATTGGCAGCTAGGTATGTAGCAGAGACATTGTCACACAAGATTACTAGGCGCTAAGGAAGCTTGATATGAAGTTCTGACAGAAGATTTTCTAACCAAACCGTTTCAGCCAAAGCAGAAGCAACCGTGCGATATTCAGACTCAGCAGAAGATCTGGAAACTGTAGATATTTTCTTGGAGGACCAGGAAATGAGAGAGGAGCCTAAGAAGACACAAAAACCAGTGGTAGAACGGCGAGTAGTTGGACACCCGGCCCAATCAGCATCAGAATAAGTAACCAGGCGATTAAGAGGACCAGCACGGAGATGAATGCCATAATGAAGTGTGCCTTTAATATTCGTAGAATACGTTTGACAGCTTGAAAATGTTGTTCCCAGGGATCATGCATATGCTGACAGACAAGGTTGACCGCATACTGAAGGTCCGGTCTGGTGAAGGTAAGATACTGTAAGGCACCCACCAAGCTCCGATAGAGAGTTGGATTGTGAAAAGGCGGAGACTCATCAACAGAAAACTGAAAAGCGGGAGCAAGGGTTGCAACAGGATTGGCATCAGTGAGATGACTATGAGCCAACAATTCCTCAGCATATTTACGTTGGTGTAAAAACCAACCACCAGAGTGAGGAGCAACAGAAATACCAAGAAAATAGCTGATTGGACCAAGATCAGTCATGACAAAAGCACCCTTCAGCGACTGAATAATAGTAGTGAGCAGACGATTACTAGATGTTGTCAAGAGAATGTCATCAACATAAAGTAACAAAACCGCCATGTCAGATCCAGCAGAATACACAAATATAGAAGAGTCTGAGCGACTGTCTGTAAAACCCTGAGAAAACAGAAAAGTACTGAATCTGTGAAACCAAGCTCGGGGAGCCTGCTTTAAGCTATAAAGAGCTTTGTTCAATCGACAGACATAGTAAGGATGATCTGGATGAACAAAACCACTAGGCTGTTTCTGTAGACAATTTCATTGAGATGACCATGCAAAAATGCATTTTTAACATCCAACTGATGGACGGGCCAGTAGTCTGATGGACGGGCCAACTGATGGACGGACCATGTAAAAATATTTTTCGTGTCTTATTACATTGTACAACATCATATATATAGTACAAATATTACAATAACCCTAGCCGTGATTATCGGAAATCCTAATTAGAGTTTCCGTATTTATGTATTCTATCACCAAATTATCTAGGGAGAAGCAATAGTTCAGGCAATATACCCGAAAAATATAGTTCCAAGTTTTAATACAGACTTATGATTTGAGCAGGAATTGCTTAGAAGGAAAAGTTCCTATATTCCCGTCCAAATGCAGTGATCTAAAGGTATTAGACCTTGGCAACAACAGGATAAATGATAACTTCCCCTGCTGGATAAACAAATTGACCAATCAGCAGTGTTGGTGTTCTGTAACAATCAGTACCATGGAAGAATTTCTTGTCCAGAACAAATAAACAGCTAGCCAAATCTGCAGATACTTGGTCTTGCTGCAAACAAATTTTGCTGGTTCGTTCTTCAGCCTCAGCATTGAAGGCATTCCAGTTCTGTTACCTTATAGGAAGAATTGGCTTCTGAGAGTGACATCTACATTGGTGTTGCAATATGATTTTCTGCGAGCCTAATGGTCATTTTAGGGGTCACTTTTGTGAGATAAGTCTGAGAAATGGAACAGCAACCATCTTGACATATTTGGGCTAAGAATTGTCGTCAGAAAATCTGACATACAAACAATGGATCTAACTGGCCTGCAAATGCAATTGGACTATGGAAGGAATATACCTTCATCTGGAAGACTGGAACTCTGAGAAAACTCAAACTAACTCGTTATTGTAAATTCAGACAATATTAAATTCTATTTGATCTTCTTTGATTATACAGTTAATTAACAATCTAGCTAAATCCAAATCGTTACTCTTTAGTTTACTTTAATTAACCAACATTATTATTCAAGTTTAGGTGTATCCAGGTTTCGTACGGTCCAATAAAGTTGCTGAAAAATAGCACCGGATAAGAAAAACAACAAATTCAAATCGAAAATAGAAGCCAAACTCCAAAAAGAGCCGTTTGTCTGTTAAATAACAATACAAAGTTTCTGAATTATGCCATCACGTGCGTGCTTTAACCTAAACTAATTAGGAAAGTTTATTTCCCTTTAAATATATCCCCATTCTGTCCTGGGAATACCTAGAAATTTATTCGTTCCAGAGTTGCTTCCAGTGTTTCGATTCTGCTCTATTTCCTTCAGTTGTTTCTTCCTACACAAGCTAATACCCAAAATTATCCATCGTTGAAGAAGGTTTTACACATTGTGGGTTCAGAAAAAAAAAAACAGTTGAAGTCTTTGAAGAGGGCTTTATTGGTTTCAGTTAATTTTGCTGGTTTAAGAAACAGAGAGGGGAAGCGGAATCACTAGAAAAGAAAAAACTTTGAGGAGGAATATCAAAGAAATTTCAACCCGGATGATGAATGATTCCAAAAGGGCTGCACAAAGTTCTCAACTTTCTTCAGTTTGTCGCAAACGCAAGAGGTCAGAGAGGCCTAGGAATCCTGTTCAATTGCTACAATCAGATGCGATTTTTCACCAACAAAAGAAGAAAGATGGAAGTGACCCAATTTCTACCAGGGATTTTTTCGCTGATTTATCAAACAAATCAAGTGATGCCTAAGTTTCACCTAATACGCATTTTTAATCGACGAAAAAACCTTAAAAATATTTCATAACAATTTAGAGAATACAAAGAATATGAAAATATATTTTTAAGTTTTTTTTTATCGATAAAAATTGCGTATTAGGTGAAACTTAGGAAAAATCAAAATGGTTGAGGGAGTACTAAAGAAGTGATGCCTATGCCTAATTCAAAGAAAGCAAAGAAGTATGTTTCTGAGCAACCATTAATGGCAATTCCTGAAGCCCTTTATTTCGAAGATTATGGGCTTATTCTCAAGAACCCATCATCATCATCAAAGAGGCTTAGAAATAAAAAGGTTGATCTTGAAGCAGAAATGAAGCTATTGTCTGAGAATTTTGGGGTTATTTTGAAGAACCCATCGCCATCAAAGCGGGTTAGAAACAAAAAGGATGATATTCCAGGAGAAATAAAGGCATTGCCTGAAAATATCAAGAACAAGATCATAGCTTTGGGAGGACCAAGTTCGGAATCAAGCATAACTTTTGTGTTTCAGAAAGTTTTGACAGCTACTGATGTGAATGCAAATCAGAGCAGATTATTGATACCATTCAAGAAATTGAAAGATCATTCCTTTTTGACTGAGAAGGAAAGGAATATGTTGGGGAAGAGATATGATAAGACTGAAGGTGGTAATAACCATGATCTCAATTCCAGCCATATTTTTTTATCCTGCTTGCGTTGAGCAACAAATGAATTTGACGAGACGGGACATGGGCAAAGGTGCTGAAAAAGTAAGTTGCACTATTGTTTGTTGACGCATTGGAGAAAAGTGGTAGAGAAGAATCAACTCAAAGAGAAGGATCCCATCCAGCTCTGGGGATTCAGGAAATGTTCAGAGTTGGGCTTGGCCTTAGTTGTAGTTTAAAGTAACTAGTTAACCTAGGTTTTAGAGTACATTCTGTTTCTTGATTTTCCTTTGCATCAAAAGATTCAGTTTCACTGATTAATGTTGTAGGAAAGTTTGGCTAACTCAGGTACAAGATTGTTCATACTTGTTGCTTATTGGCAATTTTATAAAAGTACATGAATGAATTCATTTTTCTTCTACTTCCACTCTTTGTGCGTCCTGTATATAACGATTATATTACCTCCCCTGCTTTCGTAAGTTTTACATATGTGATACAGTTTTCTGCAACATCAGTTCTGGATGGCTTTGGGGTTTTCTCTTGTGAAAATGAGACATCTAAGTTATTTCACTAAAAAAATTGCGATTAATACTGGAATTAAAATTTATTGTTAGACTGTTTCTGGGCTGCAACAATGCAGGTATGGGAATGTGGTAGGGGTATCAGCAAGAATGTCGATCGCGTGTAAGTTTGTACGTGTCTGCTTTAATACTAACATACTAGATAATTCTTGTCAGGTCACCAGTTATAAAGAATGATTAAAGCTAGCCTGCCTTAACATGCTGCTGCAATTGTTCATAAACAAGACATGCCTTTTAACCTTTTAATGCATGCCTTTTGGTGTTCCTACTGACCAAGAAGATCTTAAGTACAAATCTGTCAAGATGGTAGTCATACCATTCCCTCCACCTTTTACTGAACAAGAATGACCAATAAATGAATAATAGGCTCACAACAAATCCTATTGCTGCACTGATGTAAATGTCACTTTTGGAAACCGATTCTTCCTCCTCAGTTGCTAAACCTGGAAATTCTGCTGAAGATGCAGTAGAATTACATGATCTGTTGACAGCAAAACCACATAGTCCACTGTTTCCGAGGAAGCTACTTTCTGTGAATGTTTGCATCTGTCTACCCCCAGGTATCATTCCAACAAGCTCATTGTAAGACAAGTTTAAGACTGAAAGGTATGTAAGACCTGATATTTGCATTGGAATTTCCCCGTTCAGATGATTGAACGAGAGGTCTAACGACCCCAGCTCCTTCAGGTTTCCTATTGACTGTGGGATTGGACCGGCAAAAGCATTGTGTGAGAAGTTAAGAAGATAAAGCCTTTGGAGATCACCAATTGTTTCAGGCACATTGCCTTGGAAATGATTGCTGGAGAAGTCAATGGTTGTAAAGATATTAAGGATCTTCTGGATGTCAGTTGCTTGTCCTTTGAGGATGAGGGATACTGAGTCTTGATAATAAATTCCACCACTAATAAAAGTAGGCACCTGCAATTGATTAAGCTCAGTATTCGGATCATCCTCCCTGACTGCCATTGCCTTTAAACTTGATAAAAGAACCTTTGGTACAGCACCACTAAAGTTGTTCACAGCAAGATCAACAATATGAAGATATGGCCAGCTATATTCATTCCCGGGGCAAGTAATGCTTCCATAAAAGTGGTTGTTGCGCAACACAAGCACGCGCAAGTTGGTCATGTTGTTCGTCCAGCAAGGGAAATAATCATCCATTCTGTTGTTACCAAGGTTTAAGACCTTAAGACTACTGCAGTTGGACAAAGATGCAGGAACTTTGCCTTCAAAGTTATTCCAACTTAGGTCAAAAGTTTCTAAAGTACAGTTGGGAAAAGATATTTCGGGTATATATCCACTGAGATTGTTTCGTCCTAGATTAAGCACACCGAGGAGATTGCTGTTTTTAAGTAAACAAGGTGGTATGGTATTGCTCAAGGTGTTGTTGGATAAGTTAAGAACCTGAAGGCTACTGGCATTGCAGAGTGATTCAGGAATACTGCCCAATAGCTTATTGTTTGCAGCGGAGAAATACAAGGCCCTTGGCAAGTGATTGCCAATGTCTTCAGGGAGTGTAGAAAGTTTATTGCTTGAAAAATCCAGATAGCCAACATTTAAAGGCGGGGTTGGGAGTTGACCGGGGAGGGAATTCGAATGTAGATCGAGGAAATCTAGATTGCCAAAGTGATAAGGTTCTTGAAAATGTGTCAATTGGTTATGAGAAAGATTTAAAAAACGAAGAGAAAAACCATCTCCAACATCCCATAGCCAGCTAGGTATTTCGCCGGCTATCTGGTTATTCGAAAGATCTAGCATCATAATATTGGACTGATTCTGTAAGAATGGGAAACTTTTTATGCCGCAGGAAGCTAACATCAAGTTCTCAAATTGGGGAAGCAAAGAAGGTTGATCAGAGTACGTGCTGTTTGTGTCAATCACCAAATTGTTGTATGAAAGCTCGAGACTAACAAGTCGTCGTAGCTTTCCAAAATTGATCAACTCTAATGTTCCGTTAAATTGATTCCAAGAAAGAGTGAGGCTGGTAAGATTGTGTAAATCGAACAGAAACTGAGGCACTGGCCCTTCTAAATTATTACTGTGCAAATCAATTAATTCCAGTTTCGAAGAACACCGCTTATAAGCTGCTGCTTCACTAATCTGACCGGAAAATTTGTTGTTGTTAAGGCTCAAGCTCTGGAGTGATGGCATCAAGAATATATTTGTTGGGACTTGGCCATCCAACGAATTCTGACTTAAATCAAGCCCCTCAAGATAATCAAGAATCACCCCTTGAAAGAAAGAAATGTTACCTGATAAATTGTTACTCCTGAGCCTGATGATGGTAATATTTCTGGACCGAATGAAAGAGGGAACCGAACCATTGAAGTGATTGGCAGATAAGTCCACAAAGGCAAGGTTGGTAAGGCTTTCTACTGACTTAGGAATTCGCCCAGTAAAGTTGCATCCTATCAAGTCTAATTTGGACAACATTTTAAGATTACCAATGGAATCTGGCAAGCTTCCTGAAAACTGTGTGGACCCCAGCACCAGGGTCTGGAGAGATGAATCAGCCGGAAATTCGGGGAGAGAACCAAGAAGATCTCCGTTGTTGGACAAGTCAACAGTTTGAAGAGTTGGTACCTGGAATATTTTCTGTGGAACTAATCCAGAGATCCCACTTGAAGTTAGAGTCAAGACTGTCAGATTGGGAAAGTCCGCAAAGAAGTCCGGAATTTGGCCAGAAAATTTGTTGAAATCAAGATGTATGACAGAAAGGGACTCGAGTTTCACCAGACAAGAATCAATTGGCCCAGAAAGATTACAATTTGCTAAACTCAAGGCTTGCAAATGAGGCAATGAAGATGAAAGAACTTGGCACAAATGCTGAAGCCCTCCGGCTGAAAAATCCATCCCACCAAGATACAGTTGTCGAAGCGAGGTGAGATTTCGAGCTAAAAGTTGAAGATTTGGATTCTCAAGTCGGAAAGGCTCGCCCGGGGGAGAAACGGAGAGATCAAGACTAACCAAACTCTTGAGTTTGGTAAGAAAACTGGGGATTTGACCGCCGAATCCAGAATCAGACAAATTGAGATGAGTCAACGAGGTGAGCTTCTGGAAACTAGATGGGAGCTGGCCTGGTCCGAGGTAGTTCCCAGCCAAACTTAACCTCTGAAGGAAAGTAAGATCGAACAAACTACTGGTCTCATTGATACCCGCACTGATGAATTCCTGGCTGAGGTCCAGCCCAACAACATGACCTGCAGAATCACAAGTAACTCCACCCCACAAACAACAATCCTCAGTCTTCAGTTCCCAGTACACAATCTTGGTAGGAACAGTAAATGGGGCTATACTTACACTGTCTCTGAGCTGGAGCAACCACGTTTTCTGGTCGCTTAGGCATCGTCCTTCGGACAGCGAGAAAACATGCTGAATGTAATAAATCTGTATCACAAACAACAGCAACAGAGAATGAGAAAAATGAAACCCGGAAAATTTCATGTTTGATTTGCAGTGAGTCTCATCTGTTGATTTTGGAAGACTGATATAAGCAGCAACTGGCGCAGTTGCCCTTCTCCTCCCCCCCCACCCCCAACCCATCTTTTTTTTGTCATTTTGTTAATTATAAAATTGGTACTACTTAGAAGAAGATATTGTAAACATTTATATGACAGCAGCCATTAGAAGGCGAGAGAACAGGAATCAAAATCTTGTCGTCTTTTGAGTTCGAGGCGGGGAAGGTGATGGATGTTTTTTTTTCTTTTTTTTTGTTTGTTTCGAAATTACCAAATTAAACAGGTTTTGTTTTTGCTTTTCCAAGCTGTCTACTGTCTACACAGCTTTTAACAACAATCAACAAAATTGAAAATACTAGTAGTAGTTCTTTTAGCAGTGATAGGCTGCTGGTGCTAGCTAGTAGTTAAAGTAACTTCACACCAATGATAGTTTAGTCCCAAAACTCGCCATCATTCTCCTTGCTGTTCCTTTCTTTCGTAATTTTTTATTTTTTATTTTTTTAAAATTTATGGTTTTCAAGTGGAGCCATATTTTATTTATTTATATATAGGTAGGGGTGACTTCACGCTCTCAAAATCATTTTCTTTCAAAAATTATCTTCCATCACGGTTGAAATCTCAAACCGTGTTGTTGTGTGACGTGAAACGTATATACTAAGTTTGTTACATAATAGGGAATTCTCAGGTGCCATGCATGCAAGTATGTATTTGGTTGAGTGAGCAGCATAGAGATAAAAGGGCACAGATGACGACTTGTGAATAGTACTCTCCGTAGCATTCCATTTGGTCATTAATGATGTCAACCAAGTTCTGATTATCGGTCAACAAAAAACAAAAAAAAAAAAAAAGAAACTCTCTCATGCAACCTACCAATGATTATACCTAGGGACTACAATGATCTTATTTACGCTTTTAAGTTAATTTATTATCTATTTCCTCCATTCCAAAATTATTATTCGTTTGAATTTTTACATTTAATACTTTCTTATCTATATCTAAAATCTAAAAAGTAAAATAAATATTTTTAAGTGTAGAAATAAAGCTTTAATTGAGCAATCTTA